TATGCTTATACATGGAGAATAAAGTAGACGGGGCAGTGATAGAAATCTCATACAATGGTTTTTACTCTACACTGTTGTCATTTTTTTACTGAAAATTCCGGTAGACTTCTTGGAAATTTTTATCGAGTGACAGTTTCATGGAAATTTCGAGGAATTTGTTGTATTCGGAATTTGTTACAACGGAACAATGTTTTATCGCCAGATAAAATCAACTCCAATGGATTGCAATGCACCGGTCGTAATGAATTAACTATCGCGAGGATACATTTTACAGTTCCCCTGTTATTGCCCTGTTATTCGTGCAAGTTTTACACGAGAAAAGAGTCCAGCAAATCACATTTACTTTAGTTCACCCCTTAACGTTTAATTAACACTAACTTCTGAATAGTCATCCTGACTTTAAATTACGTTTCAGATGGCACCGTGGATACACAGAATTGGGGCAGAGGTCGGGATGAGGGAGAGTTGCGATCGTTACAGTCGAACGATCGAATGACCAGTCAACTGAGTTTACCCGCATTAGTTCGTCCTAGGGCAACAGAATGAGTGTCAATTCAGGCTGACTACCGATGCACCCCCTGTCATCCTCAACTGTTTCACAAAGTTTAATGTCAATCTCGAGTTTGGAATAAATTAATCATCAACCGGATGATTCCCAGAATTTATTTGCGAGTGTTGGACTTGAGCGGTCCATTTGGAACTTGAACGCAATCTCATCGGTAGTTCAGTAGTAATTTTCGGAAGAGTGACGTTGAATATTCAATTTAGGGGAGGAAAATCATGAAATTTTAGGTTTTACGGAAACTTTAGAGGGACTTTATATTTTTTAGAAGCAACAAGATGAGAATTTACCTATTTATTTGCATTTTCCATGAGAACAGACGAATTCGGTACCAAATTATGTATTAAATTATAAGTTGTTTATTATGGAGTTTCAATTAATTAAAAATTGAAGGATATATTGACCGGAATTTCCTCAATGTCTATTAATGTTCATGAAATAATTGAACTAGAATTTCCAAGTTCCTTTCATTTTTATTTTACCAATGATAGAATTTCTTAAAATTCAAGTGCATCTAACACTTGACAAAAATTTCCATTAAGTGTATAAGCGCAAACAAAAATTGTAATTTGCTTAAATTTTTAATCAAGCCATGAGTATTCGGGACCAAATTACGCTTAGATTTCAATTAGTTAAAAAATAAGTATACATTTACCCAAATTTTCTTGATATTTATTAATGTTCATTGAACAATTGAACTGAAATTCCCAGGTTCCGTTAATTTTTCATCATATTGTCAATTTCCAATGATGGAATTTCTTACAATTCTATTGCATCTCCCCCTTGATAAAAATTTCCAAAAAGCATACAAGCGCAAGCGCTCGGGATTTTTTAACCTGCAAGACTTGACACAATCGCAAATTCCTTAAAATTGAGGATGGATTCCTCAAAATTAGGGATGGATCATCGAAAATCATTGACATGTGCCTGAAAATCAAAACTATCTTTCCTCTTTCTTTTTTTTTAAATTAAGCAATAGTTGCACTTGAATTCTCAAAGTTGTGAATTTGAATTCCATTTAAGATCGAATCGTACATGGAATCTCTCCTTCAGGTTGGCTATTCAGGATAATTATCTTCCATGATAGATTTATTACGGATATTTCAATGACATCTAGGATGTTCACATTCATTTCTGAAATTGTACAAATAATCACATCCAACTGAATTCTGAATGGATTGAAAATTCACGAAAATTGTAGCTTGAATGCTCAAATTATTTAATAACTTCCACCATCATGTAGATCTGAAAATTGTAAGTCCATTTAATACTCCAGGATTCAACTGATTTTTCAATAACGAAATATACGAAAATTTCGTGTGAGTGAGTGATGGTTAAAAATGTTAAGATTTTTAACTTGAAATTTCAGGAGTAATTTTCTAATAGTGCCGGACGAATCATCTCCCACAGTTGATCTCATAGCGTCGTTTTTCATCTCAAATATTTAAATACCATTGCAATGGGCATGAATACTAGATAAAGCAGCTGGGGGTAATCGATATGGCGGGATACGTTATGGCGCCGACAGCCTTTGAATCTGAAATGTCAAATGGTGACTTGCATCCCCAGTGACTCGTAGAGGAATTCTAGCGCAGACGGCGCGTGAATACCCCAGTGCCAACATTCACCAATGGGAATCAACCGCGGTGGCAAGGATGAAAGTTCCAACGACTCTCATTAACGAAATTCAATTACACCCGAGGCTTGGAGGCATTTCGCGATGCATAAATAGTTGTTTCAATGGTGATACAAGGAATTACGGATTTATAGGGGGTGTGTGAGAAGATGTAGGAACTGGAGAGAAACTGAAATGTGGAATTTATCCCTCTGACGGGGGCCGAAACTTTGAGAGAATCTATTAATAATCCATCGGCCGGAGTCTTGGTCCTTGTGGTCGAGCTCCTCCCCGGGGAGCGTCAGGGGCAAATCTCGATGGAACTGTATTAGAAATAATTTATAAATATGAAGCACAATTTTTCAAATGTTTTTTTTTCCTTTCAGTGATGGTGTACTTCATCTTTTAGATAAAAGATTTATCGTTGAACGGGGAATATTCTCGAATAAAAATCTTCATTCGAAATTGGTTCTACTCATCTCAACAATATTCTCGCACTTAGTTTCTGGTGAAATTTAACAACTAATGCATTGAAATTCAGAAATTATTTTTTAATTTCACTCGAGAAATATGTGCTCAATTTTCGACGAATGTTCGTTAATTTTTTGAAAAAGCAAATAATTTTCTCAGTGTACTTGGCAAAAATTTCCAGGAATTGCACTTATTTAAATGCAAATATTGAATCAAACAAATAATTTCTTTGACTAAAATAAAGGATTATTAGGGGAGGGTGGGGCAAAATGGCCCCCCTTCAATTGTCAATAACTTGTGAATGATATTGTGAAAATTCCCAGTTTCAACTTCATTTTGAAGATAATTTTTCATTCTTCAAAACGAGCTCTAACTCATCCCAATCGGATTATTGAATCGGAAAATATTGACGATTGAAGGGGGGCCGTTTCGCCCCATCCTCCCCTACATGTTAATGAATTCATTGTCTTCGTCGTCTAAACAATTATTTTATTTCTAATTAATAAAAGATTTCATTTAACAATCAAGTTTTGACCGCAAGTTTTGATTGAACGAAGAACCTTCTCACCTAAATAATTTTCCAAATCCATGCGCATTACCAGAAATACCCGCCTATGATGATGCGTACAATTGGTTTGTTACAGAAATACCATACGCCAGTTCACCAGCATCAGGCGAATGCAATTATCTTTGTTCGTTAATCATGACCGCAGCGATGTTGGAACGATAACAACCTAGTTAGCCTTATATTACTGGTACCATACGATTACCGATGCGATTGCAACGATAACGAAATTCATATGTTTACGCTCGGTGATACACGCTCATTGTGACACTATATTAGTACGGGAATTTCGCTCATAAGTGGTGATACAGCACGAGAGGAGGCTCTCCAATTTGTACATAAACTTGATGGAATTAATGGGGCCCTAGATGAAACCAACTCCTTCATAATGTATTTGCTAATTTTCCTGATTGTCGAATTGAATTGATGAAATTTATGAATCAATGTAATACAATTCCCAGAAGTGGTGAGAACAAATTATAAGGAAATTTTCGGCAAATTCTGCTGTTTGAAATTTTTATGAACTTAAAGTTTCAATGAAATTGTATTGAAAGTTGACAATTTTATGAAAAAATTATTAGAAACTGTGACGTTCAGTTCAATTATTTCATTAAAATTCAAACAATTGATATTCCCAGGGAACATTGAATTCCCAGAGGAGTTAAGGACAAATCGTAAGGAATATTCCGGCAAATTCTGCTGTTTGAAATTTCTATGAACTAAAAGTTTCAATGAGATTTCATTGACAGTTGACAATTTCATGAAAAAATTATTAGAAACTGTGACGTTCTGTCCAATTATGTCATCAAAATTGATAGAAATCAAAATAATTCTGGAAAATTCACCGTAACTTGAATCAAATTATTTGATATTGAACATTCAATCGTAAATTTACGTCTTCATACTGCAAGAAATATTGGAATTCCGTAATTTTTCCCTCAAATGCAATTAAATGTCGCTCTTCTGAAACTTGCTACAAAACTATCCACAAAGTGTCAATTTTCCCCTAAAACTGTGAGATGAAATGGCGCATAAATAGCAGCTCATATGTTCACCTACAAATGTTGAAGAGAGATTCAGTAAAAAAAAAGGCCCGTACAATGTAAATGAAGCACTTGAATAGCCTCCATTGATAGTCCGAATGAATAAAATTTCTGAATCAATCATGTTCCATCTCCATTATTTCCACGATTTCAAAAATACTAAAATTTGATATTCCATAAAATGAAGAAAATGAAGGAATATACGGCTTTCATGATCGACTGTTCGTTTTAAAAATTTTACTATGCAAACGCACATGCAGACATCTTATGGAGACGATGAACGTTGAACCGAGTTGCCCGCGAGGACTTTTTAGAGCGCCGTAGATACAAGTAGTAGATACAGCACGTTTCTGATTGCTTTTCTTACCCCATAGCTCCCCTCCCGACCCCTCTTACTTCTCATTTCTTGAGTCTACGTAGAGTATACACCTCTCTTGACTCACGTTTTTTTTTGCCTTTGTTCAGTGCGCGACGGGAGAGAAAACTGTGGGGAATTAAGAGCCCTAGCAGGATAAAGAAAAAAATTCAATGAAAACTGACGCATTTACAGAGCTAAACTCCACAAAATTGACTCGACTATTCAGGGAATTGAATCTTCACGTTTCTTTCATCATTAACGAGTTTGTCCAGATTTTTCGGAGTAGATGAGTTTACTGAATTTTCCAGGGGAAATGCTGAATGAAGGCTAGAGCGTTCGGTCTATTTAATTGTGCTCGGTGAATGTAAATGATAACGATAACTCACCAGGATCCGAGGACGGGTGGGCTCTCGTGAGTCTACATAGCTGAAGGGGTAGATAACGAGTGTCCGCTCTCGGGGGTGACTTTGGTGGGGGTGGTGTCGCACTTAAAAAACCTCTCTGGAGCTCCCAGCCGACCTCTTGGATGATTGACGCCTTCCTGAAGTAGGGCGTCACTTCCCTCAGATATTTAACTGGAAAAAATGAGTTATTTTTTAGATATTTGATTTTAGTGTTTCAGCGCGGAGAGAAAAGTTGGACGGAAATTGTATTTAGAAAATCGTGGAAATTTTTTTTCGGCATTTTACGATTTGTTTAGTAAAAACATGACATCCGTAGAGGGTGAAGTTACGGTTCTCTGTACGGGAAAATTTCCTGCAGCTGTACAGTATTTTTTTGTGAATGATGCGAACGATTTGGGATTAAACGCAAGTCAAATTTTGCTGTACAGGAAGAGAAAGTGAAATTAAAAAATACTATGTGAACGTATATCGACTCTTAATTTTTACTGTTGGTCAATAGTTGATTTTTGAGTCACAGAAAAATTTCTCCATATATTTGAATTATTATGCAATATTGAGCAATCGTTCAGATTCATGGGATAATTTTTGATAGTATGAATGGTAAATTTTACAATTTTGGTAGATGGAGAAAATTATTTGGTGAATTTCACCAACTAGTTGTTCAAACTAACAACTAGTTGTTGAAAAAATGAATTACCAATCAGTTATTACATTTCAACCACTGGTTGATGAATTTTAATAACTAGTTGGTGAAATTTAACAACTAATTGATTAATTTCGAATTCTCAATTGCGAAATAACGCGAAATTTCAAAGAGAAAAAAAATTTAACTAATGGCTGTCGAATGAAATTTAAATTTTTTCTGAATTTTAATTAGGTAGTTTTTTAATTTCACCAACTAGTTGTTGAAATTCAATAACTGGTTGGTGTAATCAATTTTTTCAACAACTAGTTGATGAATTTCAACAACTAGTTGATAAATTTCAACAACAACTTGTCGAGATTCACCAAATAATTTTCTCCATGTATAAATTAGTCTCACATTTACAAAATTTTCCCAAGTCAGCGGAGAAAAAATCACTCTTTTCTCGCATTTTGTGCCCCGATATGGTGAAAAAGATCTAAAAATGGATTCCACTCCACGATTAGATGCCTTGTTTGGTCATTTTTCTCCAATTTCTTCTCCGAGTTTATTTAATTGTCTCATGTAAAAATTATTATCCCACAATAAAAAAAAGTTTTTTAACACAAGGATAATTTACACAGAACTTGCCTCACGATGTAGGATTTTTTTTTTCAAAAAATGGAAATTCAATAAAGAATAGAAACAATAAAGTAATTATATTGAGATTTTTAGAGCGAAGAATGTTCCTATACTTGAACTCCTCGAGCCATGTTTCATGAAGACACAGAACATTAAATCAAAATCAAATCATCGGCAAAAAATCATGAATCGATATGGAAGTGAATGAAAATAGTTTAAATTCATCCTGACCATCGACAACAAATTCCTTCTGAACAATAAAACAGGTAGAACGTGACGATCGTCAAAATCGATATACCGGAACGATCAATCAATATTTACGATCAGTTTGATATTAGCTCTCACTTCTGAGACTATTACCGTTTTACGATTTGCTTTTACGATTGGAAATCCATTGCCAGTAAACCTGTGATCCGCTAAGAAAAGTGGGCAGAGAGAGCAATGGATGCATGACTTCCACGAGTCATTTCAGTACTGCTTTTATTATAGCCCCACTAGGGGCTTATATGTGCGTTAATGGTTACAATAAAATCTTCAGTAGTCAAATCGTTGCTTTGATCCGGCACTTCAAAGGGATTTCATTCCCCATATTTTCGTGGGAAAAAATGAATGGTTTTGAATTCATCATGAGAACTTTGTAGAAATTACCACAATTTTCGACATTTCCAAGGGATAAAATCAAATTTTGCTTGCTTGAGGCTTGCCATTTTAAATTTCAACTGAGATAGTGCGGAAAACTTTTTCGTTTTTCACGAAAAATAAATAAAAATACTATTTTCTGCCTGATTTTTCCTTAGGCATCGGATTTTGTCGGTCAAAATTGTCTCCGGCCACTCAAAATTAGGAATTCAAATTCTTTTAAATCCAAAATTCAACTCAATAAAAATCCCCAACGTATTTTTTTCTCAAGTATTTTTTTAATATGATCACAAATTTTCGCGCCTTAATTATAAAATATGCGGGCGACAAATTAGACCTACAGAATCGGATTCCTATGGAACAATCCCGCGGAAAATACAAATTAAACATTTTTTTTCTCGAAAAACGAAAATTTTTTTTGCGGGGTGAACCTTCCCTTAAGCCATTGAAAATAATTTACTTGTCTCAAGCAAATATGGTCTACATAAGAGGAAATTGTTCACTCAGTGTAGTTCTCTACCCATACGATTACACAAATCGGTATTCCCTCGTCCAATTTACCCCGCCCCCCCTCCTCCCGGCGAAAAAAAATTCTACTCTCATGAAAAATGACTCATCCCCGGCGATTGATTTTCCCCGAGTGGTCACCAATGCATTACAATTCCCCACCAAATTGCGTAATGAGTAATTATCCCTGATTCAATTATCCCCTCACAAACGGCTATTCATCCACCAATGTCCTCATATTAATATTTTGCAAACCTAGGCTAGTATTACGTGCAAATGATGACGCACTATTTGTCGTTGTGATTTGCCATCGGGAATTGAATTGGCCACAGTAGCCAGTGTAATATTCACATAAGTGATATATCATGTTACATATTCACATTGTATTTCACATTGTTTGCTGTCTACCCAGAGGTATGCACTGTAATTATCATATATTTCGTTGTTATTACCGTTGCCAATTCAAATAATCCTTTTCAGACATCGGCATAATCATGAATTTTTGATGGCATTAATTTTTGAATTAGTCAATTAGTTGATTCTACTCAATAATTTTGTTAATTTTAAATTAATATCAATCAATCAGTCAGTAGGCGCACTACGAGTCTTTCTCTCACAAAATTTTTCATATATCATGTTACATATTCACATTGTATTTCACATTGTTTGCTGTCTACCCAGAGGTATGCACTGTAATTATCATATATTTCGTTATTATTACCGTTGCCAATTCAAATAATCCTTTTCAGACATCGGCATAATCATGAATTTTTGATGGCATTAATTTTTGAATTAGTCAATTAGTTGATTCTACTCAATAATTTTGTTAATTTTAAATTAATATCAATCAATCAGTCAGTAGGCGCACTACGAGTCTTTCTCTCACAAAATTTTTCATATATCATGTTACATATTCACATTGTATTTTACATTGTTTGCTGTCTACCCAGAGGTATGCACTGTAATTATCATATATTTCATTGTTATTACCGTTGCCAATTCAAATAATCCTTTTCAGACATCGGCATAATCATGAATTTTTGATGGCATTAATTTTTGAATTAGTCAATTAGTTGATTCTACTCAATAATTTTGTTAATTTTAAATTAATATCAATCAATCAGTCAGTAGGCGCACTACGAGTCTTTCTCTCACAAAATTTTTCATATATCATGTTACATATTCACATTGTATTTTACATTGTTTGCTGTCTACCCAGAGGTATGCACTGTAATTATCATATATTTCGTTATTATTACCGTTGCCAATTCAAATAATCCTTTTCAGACATCGGCATAATCATGAATTTTTGATGGCATTAATTTTTGAATTAGTCAATTAGTTGATTCTACTCAATAATTTTGTTAATTTTAAATTAATATCAATCAATCAGTCAGTAGGCGCACTACGAGTCTTTCTCTCACAAAATTTTCACTCCACAGGAAATATACCCTAGAAGTGCAAATATTTTGATGAATTTTTTTAAATGTGTCAAGTAACTCTTTTAATTTACTCTAGTGATGATAAAAGTCGTCTAGTGGTCAGGGCTGAGTATAAAACAAATATGTGTTTGTCATTCCGACCGTAAGGCACACTCCTAAAAAAAAACAAAATTTTATCGACAGTTGACTACTAATTTTCCGGACAGTGACACTGAATACGCTTTAGGGAACTGATCGATTTATTTCCAAGAGTTTTGATCAATGCCACACCGTTGCTAGAAAAAAACGGCGAGGGGGGGAGGATAAAAAATCTCCGTCGGGTATTGAATGCATGGGAAGGTGGGAGGAGGGAGTAGTGTGCATGGTAGACTTTACCAGTGAAAATTCAATCGGCACGTAAAGTATATACCAGCGGAAAACGCGAGCACACTGCAAATTTCGATAATTTTGCGATCGAACCCTCCGAGGCACTATCCCTCAGTGCTGCCCCCCACCCCCGCCGTATCCCACCCTTCATCGACAATTTGTCGATTCGATCGACGCTGGTGATAACGAAATTTCCAATGTCGAATAATCCGAGTGAACACGCGAAATGAATTCGATGTACGATCGGTATATTTCGACTCGCGTTATACGTCTGCGTCAGGTTTATATCGTAATAGTTCGTGGAATGGTGGATGTACGTGTGGGACAGAGGTGAATTGGTAGTATGATTTAATGTAGAGGGGATGGATAATTCGTTGATTTGAGGGAATGATAACAACGAGGCTGGAAAAATGCCACGGGGTAATATTCGACAATAAGTGCTTTTCGATTTAACAGTGATATGGTAGATCGGTATCCGTGGAGTAACAGATTATGCATTCAATTTCTGGGGGGTATCGGTGATTTTGGGGATTATTCAGGGGAGGGTTTATGCATTGCAGAGGGAAATAATGATTTCCAGGAGTTTCGTCTCAATTATTAGGGATTCGGAATTCGGAAATTCAGTGAGTGAAAAATGCCGAAATGACAACGTCAGTCATTTTCAGGGATCCATCTCTCATTTCCAGGCATCTGTCATCCAATTTCGGCGATGAAATGATTACAAAGGAAGAGTAATCGCGGGGCGAAATCTTTTTTAATTGTAATACCCTGAGACCCTCACGATTATTGAAATTTTCGCGGAAAATTTATTGTAAACGAATAAACGTGTCACGGTTTTGCAGAATAAAAATTTTGCTTTTAAACTTGAAACACTGTTGAAAAAATTCAGCTGAATTTTCCGGAAAAAGACGTTGATTTTGTTTTAACGGGAAAAAAGTGAATAGAATTGCAAG